CTCTCTCTCTCTCTCTCTCTCTCTCTCTCTCTCTCTCTCTCTCTCGCTCCTTGAGCATTATCTCTCTCGCGCGCGCGTGGCGCGGGCTACCTCTCGCGCGGATTAGCATTTCCTGTGTCTGCGTCGAATTAGCGTGCGGACTCGCTAATGCTATTCTCGCGGTGCTTCGCCTCCCCGCGCCCCACTCCGCCCCGCCCCGTCGTACTTCGGCGAGTTGGGTCGGCTGCTCGGTGCGACTCTAATTTATTTCAGTCCATAGAATCGTCCTTGATCTCTATGCGCAAGTACCTGCCGCTCGCCTGCCGCCTTCCTTATGCCCCCCCCCCCTTTGTCCCCCTCTCCTTCGCTTCAGTTCGCTGCGTCAAATAATTTTCACCATGATTTTACTTTATGGTCCAAACCGTTACGGGGCGGGATGTACCGTACCGTAACTTTGCAATACAGTCGTACCCCGTACTACACTCAAGGAAGTACGGTCTTGTACGGGTCATACTTTTACGGTGTTGACCGTAGCTTGTCCATACGGGATTTGTTTGAGTGCACGCGGAGCGCACGGATGCAAAATTCGCGAAGCGAGTTGAATCGCACCCCTTTCCCCCGCGACGCGGCGGGGCGGCGGGGGTGCGTGTGGGCGGTCGCTAGATGGACGCTCGCTCTGTGAGTTTGTGCGCCGCGGAGGGATTTCCATTTCACCAACATTTTGTCGCTTTAGCCAGCGGGGGGAAGTTCGTTTCCCGCGGCCGCACGTGGGCTGGGCGGGCCCCTAGCCCGCTGCTATGCTACTCACTGTTGAGGGAAATTTAGCAATACGGCGCTGTTCCGCGTATGGGCCCCCACACCTGGAACGAAAACTTATTGGAAGCCACATTTTTTGAAAGTCTTCAAACACTTACAAATTGCGAGTTTTTTTCTGCACCGTATACGGGTTGCTGGTGTGATCACCAATGAAACGTCTAATTGCTTTTAGTTCGAACAATTATAAGATTGTAACTACAGGTAACTATAAGAGAAAATTTGCCATAAATATTTATGAAGATCGAGGGGTTTTTCTGGGTTTGTGGTAATTTTATTTACTGTTTTTCAGTAAGACTCCGCCAAGAGTCCAGTATTTTGTTGCTGTGTACGTCTAACTACAGCATCACTCACCTCGTTCAGCTGCTCACCGTTCTTTGCCCACTTATTCAGTCTACTACCACGGGAAGTGAGAAGGGTCAGCCTATTTAATACTTATCAACCCATCGCCATGAAACTTTAAATCCGGATGGGAAAGGATAGAGGCGGGGGGGGGGGCTTCTATTGAGAGGCTTTGGAAAAGACGACCCAGCTCTCGGCTCGCACTGAAAATAACTTTATGTAACGTGACGTGCGTTAGACGTGTATGATTTGCTTTTACTGATAGTATACATTGTATGCAACTGTTGCGTAAAATAATTGGTGTAAACGCGGTGTAACACCTATTACACATGCACACAAACGTTAAATCGTCAACGAGCTCTTCTTAACAACACAGACAGTAATTTCCAATGATCTGTTGCGGTATATAGAAGAATGTCGTCCAGCATCACCGAGCCCCTGCTCGTATAAAAATTATTCTACGTAAGGTAAAAACAATGTCTCAATTTTAGGGAAAAGGGAAAACTTTGAGGAACTCCCTTGATTGGAGAAAAGCTCTTCGGATTCTGAGGAAGTCTCCTCAAACAATGTTGGACTTTTCCTCAATTTTTGAGGAGGTTCCTCAAAATCAGAAATGAAATATGAGGAGTTTTTCCTCAAATATGGAAGGTCCCTAAAGTTTTCCCTTTTTCCTCAAAACATGAGACATTGTTTTTACCGTGCGCGTGCGCCGGACCATTCGGAAGCTCTGCTAAAACCGCCATGGCTTAATCATTCTTGTGGTGTCAGGTGTCTCAACGACGTTCAATCACTGTGTCACTTTTTTTTTGTTTCTTAAATCGACGGCTGATAAAAATAAATGATGAAGCTGTTCGTGTGGAAACGGAGGCCGGATTCATTCAATTTCGTTGCGTAACGCCGCCGAAATTTTGCGTGAAATATCAAAATCAGTAAGCACACTTAAATACCACTCTGTCGCATATTTTTTACAAAGTTTTAACACATAATTTATCACAAACATTTCATATCTGAGTCACGTGCTAGCTGAACAAGTGCGTCAACCTTATTGTAGAATTTCGCCGACTTTTGACAGAAACTCGATTGGCGTGGATCGGCGTGGAATGCCTCGCGGCCTATGGCGCTAGGGGCCCCCCGCGTGGATCGGGGATCGGGTGACCTTCTGGGG